ATTATTTGTCTTCATTCAGATAAGATGTTAAGGGAAAAGTTTGGCCGCTTTCATTTAGAGCTGTACTTGAAAATGCAGTTTCTTGAAAAGGATATGTATTTATTTTCAGTCATGCTATACTTGAAGTTAGTGAAACTTTAAAAATAACTGTGAATGAATACAGTTGAAAATACATTGTCAACTAATTTTACATTTTGCATGTACAACTAATAAAACTGTGAGCGGTACATTATATTGGTACTCTTGCAGTTTATTTAACTTATTCAGTGAACAGTACTTAATGTACAATCAATTCCATTTTTTCCCTGAATTTTTACACAAGTTTTTGTCTTTTTTTTAATGAAATGCCTAGTCAAGTGAAACAGAAAAATGTATGACTGAAATGAAGAAAAAAGTAGAGTGAGAGTTAGTGTCAATTACAATGGTGAAATTACTTCTGAAATTAAGTAGAATTTGTCCCTTTAAACTTTACAAGTTATTAGTCTTATTTTGGAGCATGGTTTGTAGCAGGTCTAAAAATGATAAAGAGAGAAAGATTGTTTTTGTTTTCTAAATTGCAGCAGAGTTAGAGATGCATTTGACAGAAGGGCTTCATATGCATTGTTCATTGTTGTATATGTAATACAAAGAATTTGAAGGCGGCTAATACTGCATCACCAGAGCTCATAACACTAGCCATTGGCTTTAGTCATCTTTCTTTGAATGCATACACCCACAGCTGTTCTGTGCTGTCAGTATAGTTTGCTCCAGGAGTAGGAGTCAGAGACTGCAGGGACAGAGCCACAGACTGGGCTTCCATGTACAGGGGAAGAAGGTTGTTCAGGGTTTAGAATGTATAAGGGAGAATGGGAGAGGAGTGATGCGCCAAGCTGTGTCGATTAGAAGCAAGGTTTAACATGAGGATTGTGAGCTCTAGTAACTCACCAGCTGATTTAACCAAAACAGAACTCATTGCTTATTAGCCCATATATTCAACTGGGGCATAGAAACACAATCACAGGAGTAAGCTCCAGAGTATATAATACCTCGAGTTTTATGGTTTGAATTGAAAAAAAAGATATTTGTGAATCTGGGGAAACTAGTGACAACATAATTCATTTGCTTGTCCTTTGATATTTTACTTGAAGTAGTGCATCCTAAGGTATGTCTCCTTCTGTTTGGGAAAATTTAGTTTGCCTTTTATTTCTCCATGAAACAAGTCCCCACCTGGACTAGGCATGCTGCTTTGTTCCAGGCTTGTGAGGTCTTACAAAATGGTTCTTGAAAGAAATCACTAATGTTACTGAGTATATGAACTGCTGTGGCTTAATACAGCTGAAATTCGTATGCACTGCTTGGAATGCAATATAACATATGAAACATGTACTCGTGCTGCTAAAAATATTCAGTTCCTGAGACTGTAGGTTTTTGAAGAAAATTAGCAGCAAATAAAAGCACATATGTAAAGATACATACCTTGATGAAATAAAATAAGGTTTAAAGCTAAAATCCAGTGACCTCAGAAGCTGAAGGTGCTTCTGTAGTGCTAGTGTATTTTGTGCATCTGGAATTTTCTTTTATTTTCATATTAAATGCATAGTTGAGTGATCTATATTGGTTAGTTCTGAGACAGAGATATACAGATTGGGCATAGCAATATGCGGCATTAAGAAGACTGCGCTGTTAAATCTCTGATACAATATTTGGTTTAATATTTTCAGTGGGAACAAAGGATTCTTTATTTTTGAAACTATAACTGTTGAAATATATTCATTCCATGGATTTCAGAGCTGCATCATGTAATGTCCCACTGTCTCTTTAAAATCAAACAAGTCATTTGTTTTTAAGAGATATTCAAGAGAC